TGAAGACATTTTTGACATATTAAACATGTTTTATTAATTGACTAATCCGTGGGTTGACTGTTAGAACAAGTCGACGCGTGCGTCAGGATCAGACATGACTATATTAATTAGGGTTTGGGAGGAAAAACGCGTGAGCACTAACATTAAAATGGCAATTAAGCATATCCATGAATCCAAGTCGTCATTGTTTAATTTATTTAACTTTTCTATGATATATTTGCTTCAGAATCACATCAATGTAGCCCAATGGATGCCATGGGGAAGGTGCTCCTGGAGGAATATTATTGAATGTAAAATTTCTTTATTATAGTTTAATAATGTATGCTACTCCAGGGTTGAGTGCATGACGTTGTTTGATATATATCCTCCTTGTAAGAGGGGTGTGGTTATGACAATACCCTTATAATTTTAAGGTCATATAATAATAATTTTAAAATATTATTATATTTAATTTGATTATTAAAATAATTATAATTAATAAAATTATTAATATTTATTATTTAATAAATTAAAATTAAATTTTAAATTAATATTTTTAAAAGTCAAAACTAATAATTTAAAAAAACCTACAAATTAATGAAATATTAATTAAATTAAACAACATTTGTATGATTTTAAATAAAATAACACGTGTGTAGTTATAATCACTCCATAAGAATTTAAAGCTTTAATTAATTAAAATTACAATAATGTTTGAACATTAACACCGTAAACACACAGGAGTTTGTGAAAGTTGAGGACACACTATATATCCCTATGCATCAGTCTATCTAAGACCATTGAATTAATGCAATAATAATGCCAGGAATTCAAGTTTGACTTCTTTTTTCTTTGAACAGGGTGGAATTTGGCCATTTTGGAACTGGGGTGAACTAACTGGCCCGATCGACTTAGTTCCAAAATTTGACTTTAATAAGTCTAAAGAATATATACACATAAGTGAATGTCAAGAAGAACTGTATCAAAATCCATAAAAAAAGAAGAAGAAGAAGAACTGTATCAAAGTTGACAAACATTGTTTAAGTGACAAATTATGTGATGTAGTTAGAATGTAGAAGTTTCTAGGATGCCAATGGATGACTTAAAAAATGACAAGAAAATGAAATTTATTTCAACTTGAATTTAGTGCACAATTAGTCCTAGATACATAGGGGATTGAGTATTATGAAATCATGGCAGAAAATATGAAGATGGTCGGCTCACATTTTCAAACAGATAGAGAGCTTCAAATGAGGACAACTTTGCTTAGATTCTTGGACTGTTTTTAGAATTGAATATTTGATAATTTATATTTTCTTTTTAACAAATGGGGATCTATTATATTGTAATTTGATGCTCCAATCACTAACTCGATATAGTTTTGAGAGCCTTCAATATATGATATGGGATTCAGATTCATAGTTGGATCACACTAATGAAGAATTAATGAAACTATGATATAGCTCGTGGTTAAAATAATGGGCCTATAACCATTGGACACTCAAGGCTATGATCAAAACCTCCCACCCTAATATATATCTCAATAAAAAGGAAAAAGCATAACAAGTTTTCAACTATAATTTTCAATAATAACTTAAAATATGTGAAAGAATTAATCAATGTAATAGTGAAGAAAATGTTTCTTAAAAATGGTAATTACATGCCAATAAGGCAAGCAATTGGTTAAAGGGGCCTAGCGACTGAAGCTCTTGTTAGTTCAACTCTCACAGTTGACGGGATTTCTCCAAGTTTTTCTAATTTTAAGTATTGTGCCTAAGTAGTCAAATTTATTTTGTGTGTACACACTTTGTATTATATACTTTACATAAAAAAAAAAAAAAAGGTAATTTGCACATGCTGGATATATATCTCAATTTTTTTTTGGTACTAACCTTTCGATATTCAGTAATCATATTGAATCTAACTAATCCGGAATCAAGTCATGTCAGATCTCATTAGGGGAAGTCCTTTCAGTGTTTGTTTTTTCATTTATAAGACTTAAATTTAAAATTTTATTTAAAAAAAATTGAATTCTTTTTATTTAAATCAACAAGTCATTGATAGATATATATCTTAATAAATCTCTATACTGGCAAATAACTGTGAGATTGGGGATCCAAGCAACTCAAAATCCTTTCCACGATCTGTCTCATATCAGGCCTCCCTTTTGAGTTCTCAAGCAGTGCTGCATGAGCCAAATCCATCAACACCTTTATTTGACCCAAATTCACATCCCCATTGAGTTTTGGGTCCAACAATTTAGCCCAAACCTTAACATCATCATTCGTCATGTAATCCCCTGTCCATTCTGCTAAACTCGTTGATCCCTGAGTCGATTTCAGCCCAGTTATCAGCTCAAGCAACAGAACTCCAAAACTATACACATCACTCTTCGGAGAGACCAGACCCGTTTTGAGGTAATTAACATCAATATAGCCCAATGAGCCTTTGATCTTGGTCGGGGACTGAGATCCAGGGGTGTTAAAGCCCAACTTGCATGGTGGTTGTCCACAAGAAGAATGTTGGAGGACGACGTCTCTGTGGATTATGGGTGGGTCGGCCTGAGAATGAAGGTAATCCAGGGCTCGGGCTATGTCCAGGGCAATGTTTAAACGGTTTGACCAGGACAGGATCCCTGAGGATTGGCCCTCGTGCGTGTGCATCCTCGCGAACAGGCTTTTGTTGGGTACGTATTCCAGCAGAAGAGGTTGCCCTCCTGTTTCACAATTTTGTTGAAAAAAAATTATGCTACGTTCGGTTCTCAAAAGAATTAATAACTATCTGAAGAGAAACTCAAGATAATGTTTTGAGAACAATATTTTATAATTTTATTTGTATCAAATTACAACGTAATAATTTTTTATTAAAAAATTTATGTCAAAAATATCACTCATTTAAATTTAAAATTTTACAACTCAATACAAATTAGATTGTAATATCTATTTCTATACTGTTTTTA